AGTACGTAGTAGTAAGTTAAGTAACGTAAGTAAAGTAGTAGTTAAGTTAGTTAAGTAGTAGTAGTAGTAGTAAAAGAGAAGAAGAGAGAGGAGGAGAGAGAGGAGAGAGAGAGAGAGAGAGAGAGAGAGGAGAGGAAGGAAGGGAGGGAGGGAACAAGGGAAGGAGGGAGAAAGTGAATCCAGGGCAGGTCCCAGGGCTTCCTCTCTCCTGTCCTCACCATGACAGTCTGCCCCTGATGAGACTAAAGTGGATGTCTGGGCTCTAACCCCAGTCCCCCACCTTCTCTCAATGCTTCTAGGTTTGAGGGAGGATGAACAGACTCCACAGAGGCTGAGGCTGATCCTGGTAGGGAAATCCGGAAGTGGGAAAAGTGCAACAGGAAATAGCATCCTTGGCCGGAAAGAATTCGAGTCCAAACTCAGTGCTAGACCGGTGACCCAGGAGGTCCAGCGGGGGCGCCGAGCGTGGGCTGGGAGGGAGCTTGAGGTCATCGACACTCCCGACATTCTGTCCCCTGGCGCGGCGCCGCAAGTGGCCAATCAGGGCATCTGTGAAGCCATTGCCTGCTCCTCCCCGGGGCCCCACGCGGTGCTCCTAGTGATACAGCTGGGCTCGTTCACGGAGGAGGATCAGAATGTGGTCCTGCGCCTCCAGGAGGTCTTCGGGAAGGGCGTCATGGCCCACACCATCCTGGTGTTCACGCGGAAGGAAGATCTGGACGGCGGCTCACTGGGAGAGTACCTGCGAGAGACCGACAACCGGAAACTTGCCAAGCTGGACTTGAATTGTGAGCGGCGACACTGTGGCTTCAACAACAAGGCAGAGGGGGCAGAGCAGGAGGCCCAGCTAAAGGAGCTCATGGTGGAAATCGATGCAGTCCTGTGGGAAAATGGTGGCCATTATTACAGCAACAAGGCTTACCATTACTCCCAGCAAAACATTTAGGGCAAAGACCAGGAAAGGGAGGACATTCAGGCGCCCGGCTTTGAGGAAGGGCTCATTGAGGAGTCCCAGCTGTAAGCGCTGCACCAAATCCAGAAGGACTCTGAGGATGCTCACAGACAGCTCCTGGAGAAGACACCCATCTGAGCATGTGCTGGACTTCAGCGAGGGTTGGCTGCTTCCTGCTGGCCTCCCTCCAGCCCAGTCCGGCTTCCAGACCCTCTCTTGCTCTCCATCCCATGGGTCCCCGACCATCCCAGACTCCAAGTCAGTGTCTGGTGTGGCGAGAGGGGTGTGGGCTCCACAGTTCCTGGGTCCTTCATCACACCTTCCAGAACACGTGGGCCCTCTCCTCAACCCCCTTCCCCTCCAATCTCACATCTCATTGGCGTTACAGCTCTGTACTAGATCACTGAGAGAACCGAAGCTTCTGGAGGACAGGCTTGTGCCTCATTTGTCTTCACAGCATCCTGGCTGCTGGAGTCACTGGTTAAATGTTGAGATAGCAAATCAAGGTGGGATGTCGACCAGTCAATTCTGCACCTCTTGGGCTGTGTCCTTGCCCCCATTGGGGGCAGGCCTGAGGACTTTTAAGGTATGCTGTGTGTGGTGGGTCATAACATAGCAGTGGCTTTGTGACATGTGGGACAGGACAGGTGCTGGGCTAGGGAGGAGGAAGTAAGTAGAAACAGGGAAGTGGTAGAAGGAGCAGCCCTTTTATTCACTCTGGAAAGAGGCCACCCAGTCTCAGCAAGCGAGCCCTGTGGGAGCCTCCTGGCAGGATGCTGAGCAGAAGGGGGCAGACCTGATCAAGAAAGTGGAGCCTAGGCCTGACTTCAGAACATGGAGGCCCAGGGAGGTGCCATGTGGCTTGGGCAGAGGAGAAGCACTTCCCTGAAGCAGACTTGGACTAGGTTATACACCTGTCACTCCTGCCTCGTGATGCTGGCCCTCTGATGTTAGAGAACAGAGGTGATTTTCAGCCCTGCCTCTGCCTTACCTGCAGCCCCTTCCCGTCTCCCTTGAGAGTGGGGAGAAAGAGTGGGTGGGATGTGCCTGTAACTGGGTCCCACAGCAAGGCATCTTGGGATATAGAATGGAGGGAAGCAGAGAAAAAAAGGGAGGTTGTGGAGGAAGCAGGTGAATGGTTTAAAAGTCCAAGGGAGCAGCCTACTGGGCTGATGGGGAGAAGCCTGCAACACGTGGGTGTCTTTCTGGAGAGCTGATGGTTCTGAGGAAGTGAAATGGGACAGGAGAAGAGAGCAACACATTGGTCTGGCTCTGGTCTCTGATGGGTGCCATCTGTCTGCACAGGGAGACTGATGCATTTCAGACACATTTCAGTTTCTTTGAGGTTCAGGATGCTCCTGGGGCATCTGACCAATAATGGAAACAGAGTAGGAGAAAACAGGAGGGAAATTGCCTCCCAATATACCCATCTTTTCCTTCCTTCAAGCTGTGCAGCAGAGGGGTGGGAAGTGGAGGTGAGAGTGGCAGTGCTGGAGGACCATCAGAAATCAGAGGATGCAGTCTCAGGTGTCCCATAATCTGGATGCTCATCAGCTGATGGGAGATTCTCTTTAATCAAGCAGCCAATCTGGAGACCACGGCATCCATGTTCTCCAGACACAGCGGACTCCTAAGAAAGCTTAAGCATTTCTTATGCTAAAAGATTCAGAAAAGTGTCTCAAGGCAGAACAGAACTTATTTTGGCTATGCTATCTTAAATAGCCTCTGTGCCAGACCATTCATTTATTAAGTAGGTGATCCATTTCCTGCTGAACTGCAACACAACATTTATCATATGTTAAATTTTCATATTCCCTAAGATCCATGTCAGGATTTTCAATTCTGTTCTTGTCTTCCTAATTTTCTACTCCTGTATGAATAAAATATTGATTTGATTACAGTGGCTTTGATTATAATCTGACACACCAATTCCCTCCTCAGTCAACATGTTTATATTTCCTTTGTTATTCTCAGGCAGTTATTCTTCTATGTGAAAATTAAAGTCACTTGTTTAATTTTCAAAAAATAATCTTATTGGTATTCCAGTTGGAATTTGTCTTACACTTGTGTATTAAATTTGGGAGACCTGGAAGCAGGTAAGACAGAGTATTGTGTGATATCACTTAAATGTGGAATCTAAAAAAGTCAAACCTGTTTTAAAAAAAATAGCAGAGTAAAACGGTGGTTATCAGGAGATGCGGGGATGGGCGGATAAGACTGACCGTGTTTAAGGGTACAAACTTGTAAAGAGTACTAAATAAGCCACAGAGCTCTAAGGTACAGTATATTGAATGTAGGCAATAATGTGAGTATGTAATATGATAAATATTGTTCCAACAGCAACCATATTACAATATATAAATTTACCTAAGTAATACCATTTACATTTTAAATTTACACTTCAACTTTATCCCATTATAAGAAAAAGAAAAAGTTACATTAAAAATCTAAAACATAAAACATTGGGAGAATTGGTAAATATTTCAAGGTTAAGTGAATCAAGGCTATCTTTTTTTCTAAGTGAATAGATTCATAACTTCAGAGCTATTGATGTAAAAGCTAAAATTGTTTGTATTTCCATTAGGATAAGAAGATAAATGTCTTTAATTTAGGTATTACTGTTTTACCTCTGTTAGCTTAATTGATTTCATAATAGAAAATACAAGCATTTGACCAAATGATACCCATTCAGTGACTCTTAACTGGCAAGTCACTCAAAACCGTCTTTTGTTAAAAGTTCTAAAAGAATTGTTTTTAATTATATCAGACATGGGGTTTTCTCTCTTTGTTACTAGAAATCGGGGAAGATGCCTCCCACAACATTTCTGGGGGAAGAATAGATATCGTTCCACACCATTACTCCCTCAACATCAGAGAACAGGGAGGGCAAGTGTAGGTATGTTCTGGAAATTCCATGGTCTGTATACCAGTAAGAAAGAAGTGGTATGGGTGGGGGGTGTGCAAGGGGAGGAGACAGGATTGTCTTGGCCAAAGCTGAAAATTGTCAAAGTGAAAATTGTCCAAAAATATCTCTGCACTGGAGCAAAGCATGAAAAGCAGGGATCTGGACAATCTGCAGTGCCCAGTGAGTACACGGCTACTTTTTCTTTGGTGGGTCAAAGCAGTGGGTAAAAACTTCAAGGAAGGTTTCCAGCTCCCAATTCTCCTGTAATAACATTCATAAACTATGTAGAAAATACAAAATAATGAAAAATTTAAAACAACTGTTTGAACATATTGAGAAGTAACCAAATACAGGCCGACACCATAGGGAAATTGACCCTTAACATGAGGGTACCACACTGCTGCCACATTTATGTGACTTTCCCCCTGAGAGTGTTTTCCTGTCCTGCGGACACAGAGGTAGCACTCAAGCAGATATTCACAGTGATCTGAGAGTGAGAGAATGGAGTTTGAGGGCAGCCAGAGCAGCTAAAAACTGGAGTGGAACTCCCCAAAAGAGTCACCGAGGGAGTGGGCAGCTTTAGAAATTCTGTATATAAATTCCCTTCAAATCTTTGGCTGACCCATGAACTGCAATCTCTAAAGAGTCCAGGGGAAATTTTTTCTAGAAAAAGGCTGGAAGGCTAGTTAGAGGTGTCCAGTGTTGTGGGCAGCAGCAAAGGCAGAATTGGAGATTCCATTTCTCCAAATATTCTACTGAAATACCAACAGGAGTGAAAATCACACCATTACCAAGGGACTTGCCGTCAAAGAGGAGCAAGACTGGGAAAGCCCCTTGCTAACGACATCTAAAACCAAGCTTTCCCATGTTCAAAGGGATTTGCAGTAATTTAAGTGCCTACTTGAACAAACTCAACTACAATATCCGTAAACTATTAAAAATTCTTCTTTTCTAACATAAGCTATAAAATTTCCCTCTATACACGTTTATCTAAATGGCACACATTTTTGTGTATTCTGTTTTCATTATTCAGTCTACAGTATTTTCCATATTCTTTGTGTTGTCTTTTATCATTCGTGGATTATTTAGAAGTATGTGTTTAATTTCCAAGTATTTGAGGATTTTCTAGAAATTGCAGTATCCGATATAGTAGCCACCAGCCACATGTGGTTATTGAGCACTTGAAATGTAGCTGGGGAACATGAGAAACGAATTTTAAATTTTATTTAATAATAATCAGTTTTTAGTAAATTGAAAAACTGAAGCACTATAAAATATTTTACCATGAAACACAGCTTTCTTGTTTGGGTAGAAATACATTTCACTCTAATTGTTGTATCACATATTATTGCTGTATTGCCAGGTAGATTTTGATCACTTTTATTCTTTATAGCACAAGAACATAAGCACATCATTGATCTAGTCAGTGTCAATAGATTGATTCCATTTGAATAACCTTTCTAGTGGAGTGACGTAATACTTTTATTTGAATACTTTGTGTAGACAGTGTGTTACAGAGACACATATCTATATAGTAGTTGGTTACTAAGTACTGATTATTATTTTTTATAATATAATTAAGTTAATTTTTAGTTTAAAAATAAGTATGGACAAAATTTTAACTTTAAAATGAAGGCATGATTTGCAGCAACAGGGATGGACCTGGAGATCATCATTCTAAGTGAAGTAAGTCAGAAAGAGAAAGAAAAATATAAGATATCACTCATATGTGGAATCTAAAAGGAAAAAAAGAGAGCGAGAGAAGGGGAAGGGAATAGCTCAAGTGGTAGAGCACATGCTTAATATTCACAAGGTCCTGGATTCAATCCTCAGTACTTCCTCTAAAAATAAATAAATAAATAAACCTAGTTATCTCCCCTTCTGCCTCCATCAAAACAACATAAAAAATAAAAGACACAGATGAACTTATTTACAAAACAGACAGACTCACAGACATAGAAAACAAATTTATGGTTACCAGAAGGAAAAGGGGTGAGAAGGGATAAACTGAGAATTTGAGATTTGCAGATACTAACTTCTATACATAAAACAGATAAACAACAAGTTTCTTCTGCATAGCACAGGGAATTATATTCAATATCTTGTAGTAACCTATAATGAAAAAGAATATGAAAATGAATATATGTATGTATATGTATGACTGAGACACTATGCTGTACACCAGAAATTGACACAAACATTGTAAACTGACTATACTTCAATTTAAAAAAAACTCAAGAAACTAAAATGAAGGCATGATACTGATGCAGAATGAATGGAGATAAGCAGGTACTAAACAAGAACAAGGGAGAGAAAGAGACACTGGAAGAAGATATGGTACAACATTTATGATGAATGGCAATAGTAATTTGCTGTAATGCAGCAGAACCAAAAAAAAAAAAAAAAGCTGTTAGGTATTTCAGCATTTTTCAGCAAATACATAGGGAGTTTGATAAAATGCTTCCTCTCAACAATCAAAAACAGAGGTGACAAAACTAGTAACTGATGCCAGAATTAAATATCCAGCAAAAAACTGTAAATAACTTTTAACAGGATCTGAGCTTGCTAATTTGGGACAGCTATAAAACAGCTTGAATTATTGCATTTAAAAAAAAAACAACACTTTTAGTTGAAGGGATGGTAAAAAAAAATTTTTTTCACTTTGGTTATGGAAAGTTTTGTTGCCAATTTTTAAGAAAAAACTAAAAATTTTAAAGTATACAAAACATGAAAGACCTTCCATTAAGGCGCCAAACAATTGCCCAGAAAAGACAGAAGACCTTTTTAATAATACCAAAATTCATTGATTTAAAGTTTGAAAATTTGGAAGTATTTTTCTTTAGAGCTATATAAGGAGTGTGATTTAAGACACAATCCAGAGGGGCCAAGATGGCGGAGTAGAAGGATGCTCGTAGCTCACCCTCTCCCACAATTACACCAAAACTCACATCTGCGGACCCACCCAGGCAACCAGAGCACTTGCTGAACTCCAACAGAACATCACCCTCTTCAAAAGACAAAGACGCCATGAATCTACTAGGAGAAAAGGAAAAAAGAAAGAAGAAAAAGCAAAACAGTGTGGGACTGGTCCCGCAGGAAGGGAGAGGCAAAGGAGGAATGGCGCTTGTTCACTGAGTCTCCACCTCTCCAACAGAAAGGCCAGCGGGACAGAGGGGAAACCTCTGAGGCTCAGATCTGCACGGAGCACACCTTGACTGACAGAACTGAGTTAAACAGGTACAAAGGGTCCCAGCGACACCCAGCCTCAAATGTGAGCCAGCAGCTGTGGCCTGGGACTGGCTGCATAAGCCAGGCAGAGGACTGGGGCACCTACACTGAGCCAGCCCCAGGGAACTGCAGGGTGCTATGCTGTGGCTGGGAGGAGATACAGAGCAGAACAACCTGGGTCCCCCATAAACTACGAAAGAAGCAAAGCAACACTGCTGGTCTTTGTCTCCTCATACACACGGCACCATTACTGGCACTTTTCACAAGAAGAGAGGTGGGTCACAGCCACAGCCACCGTATCTTCCTGTGCGCAGTGCCTGGGCAGGGGCAGGGCTGAGACCTGAATCCGCTCCCAGGGGCTCCGCAACCTCCTAGGCAGGACTAAGACTTGTTTACAGCCCAAGGCAGAGAGGATCTTTCTGCCCTGGAACCTCAGAGAACTTGCACTGCGAAGACAAACAAGGAGCTGGGTTTTGGCACAGAGCAGGGAGGGGCTGTTATGCACTGTTCCCCGAGCCCACCTATGGAGCGCCTACCCGAGGTGGAGCAGGCAGCTACACAGAGCAGCAGAATGACTGGAGCCGGGAGACAGCTGGTGGCCACTTGCCATCCTGGCAGGAGCACAGCACCTGACCATGGTTCTGGGAGGGGGCACAATCCGCCCGCCTATCTCCCCCGAACTCAGCATCTGACTGTGGCATTGGGAGGGGGAGTTACCTGCCCACCCACTGGGTAAGAGTTTAGCACCTGATCCAGTGTTGGGACGGGGTGCGATCTGCTAGCTGACAGGCACTGGGAGCAACACAGACAAGGGGGCCAATGGAGGGCATCTGGAAATAGCAAGCTGAGTTCATGAAACAGGGTGAAGACAGAAAGACCTCTTGATATAATCA